GGCAGCTGCCCCTCCCTGCCCCCCCTTGGCGACGCCCTTGATCATTGCTGAATGTTAACTTACGTCAAGCGAAACGGGCGGATAACGGCTAGTATATAAATAAAACGGAAACATTTCTTTTTGTTCGTGCATCACTTAAAAGCCACTGAACGTATCGGCGTAGGACCTTGACCGTCCGACACGGCATCGCCTAAAGATGATTATAGACTATTTATATGATAAATGTAAAGCTGCGTTTTTCGGCTGTTCGTCACAAATCGCTGGACGAATCGTAACCAAATTTTACATAGAAGCAGATCAATTTGTTTGGTTTTTTTTTTTTGGTTTCATTATAATCAATATACAAATAAGGACGAAGGAAAGAAAAGAAAAAGGAGACAAAGGATAGGGAAACTGTATAGAAACGCATTCTATCCCATTCTCTCACAGCCTAAAACATATATCTACATTTACAGCTATCTCAAAAACGCATTCTACCCCATTCTCTCACAGCCTAAAACATATATCTACATTTACAGCTATCTCAAAAACGCATTCTATGTCATTCTCTCACATTTGTAGCTATCTCTTTTCGTTACACGTTTCCGTTTCTTAGAATCCAATTCACACAGTTCCAAAAGAAGTTGCTCTTCAAAACAAAAATCATTACAACATTTTAAAAATTTTAATTTCCACTCATTGAAACGAGTGGATAACGGCTGGTGAAATAACAATGTGAATTTTCGAACGGAATTAAAAATGAGAAATGGTCCGTCACGAAATGTGAATACTGGATACTCCATAGAAAAATATATGGTTTATTTGCTTTAAATGAGTTTTATTTAGTTTATAGAACATATTTACATCACACAACTTAAACAATTTCCGTCTATAATATTACCTCCAAATATTATACTTATGTATAAAATCGATTAAATACTGACTTATAATGTCATGACCTTAATTCGATACTAAAGCCAAGGAGGTCATCACATTGTGGAATTTCTAAACGGTGAACGACACATACGCCCGCTTTCGACTCGATTCTTAGTCGTAATGGTAATACATTACGAACGTGATATAAATAATCTATATCCAAGGTTAAGTTACACCGAAGAATACAAACATGACGAATGTCACACATGTCTCTATTTAGTTTAGATCTTTTGATTGACAACTTCAACGACTCATTTGACTCGAGTTTCTATTCGAAATACTAAGACCTTTTTTAATATTCACATTGTACACCTTATTTCAGTATTACTAAACATAATCTAATCTAATACTTTTAAGGCGAATACGGAGTTAAATTCTCAAATCCGAACCAGTCGGGCTTAGCTTGGTTTGCTTTTTAACTTTAATGGCAACACTTTGACGTCACGGTGTTAAGTAGACGTTGCAGGTATGAAGAACAACTCATAGTACATTCTCCGACAGCGAACGGCAACGAGCTGTGTTCATGACTTCGTTTAGTGCGCAGTCGTAACGGCAACTTCATGTTCGTCTAATATCTCTTCCCCGGAGCGTCAACGCATTGAGGAACTCCCACGGCGATATAGGCACGTAACGTTTGGGCTTAGTTTGATATCGTGTTTTTAAGATAAGGTGATGTCGAGGACCTAGTGCTGTCAGGGTGAGCATCACAGTCTAGAGCACTAAAAAGATTACGCAATTTAAATATAAAACCTTATTACAACATACTCTTCGTGGCAAGATGTACTGAAGCGAAGAAAGTATTTAAGATCCAGTTTTGTAATTATTTTATTTTGTACTAGCACCTGCTTCGCCTCCGTCCGCTGGGACACAAATAGAAATACCATCATCCTTTATATCGCTACGATTTAGGATCACGAAACTGATTCTGTTCTCGATTCCATTTTTAATTTCGATTTCGATCCAGTCTCGATTTTTATATCAGTCCCGTTCTCACGATTCGGTTCTATCCGCGATTCAAATGTTGATAAATTAATTAAAAGAAAGCTTATATGACAGGAATAAAAGTACTCTACATGTTAATCCTTATTTCATTCGAATTCTGTCAAAAAATATATACAATCAAAATCGATCGCCTGTAATCGAATCTTATTTTAATACATAATTTTCGTATCGGGTTCGACATTGCGTTGTTTACTCTCATAGATATAAAACGACTGCAGTGGTGATGTAATTGTTTTGCGTGCGTGTGAGTAGTGCGCGCGGGTGCTGCATGCCTACATGTGCGCGCGCGCGTATGTATGCATGAATCTAAATAATATCTGTTTAGTCAAGGATTATTGCTTTGTAATAGTGAAAGAATTTTTAGAATTTATGTACATAGAATTTATGAAGAGTTCACAATCTTACCTTTTACATTCTAACAAATGTTTGATTTCGTCTCATCATTATTTTTCATAATTTATTTTTTACATCAATATGGATGTAGTATATTGATTTAAAATTACTTTGAACTACTGGCAAAATATTTTCGTCTATTAAATTTTATTCATTTAGCTGATTCGCACAATAATATTTTCATAACGAACCTTGTTTTCAGAAGGTTTTTTTTATATTCAGAATTTGCCTTGGATTTTGATACATAAGTAAATATCTGCTTACGCACGACTGGCGTGTCAATTTGAACGCCCAAACGTCGAATCAATTTAGGCGCTGATGTGATTTCACACACCTCCGCCACTCACGCATTACAGAAATGACGTTGCAGGGAATCGACACGTTAGTTCGTTCAAGTTAAAAAATAATGACGCTGCTTTCGTATGGCATATTTTATGTAACATATAGTTACAATTCAACGAACAATTTTGTATACCTTATATATAATTATATATTATGACGATCTCGAGACCATAACGATTGTGATGAATTTCTTTACTTAAATAAAGATTTTCTTTTTAAGGTTATCTATATATATATATATATATATATATAATTATATATATGACATCGCTAAACTCTAAAACCGTTTAACCGATCACCGTGAAAATTGGCATGCATATGTTTTTTTTGCGGAGAATTAGTTCGTACTATCGACTTCGTTGCAACTCCCGACCCGATGGCACTACAGCATATCAACTTCTATACCGTTTAACCGATTACCACGAAAATTGGCACGTACATGTATTTTTTCATGATGAAACTTTTTACACTATTTTTTTCTTAATAAATTGATTATTTGTAAAGCTTGTGGAAATTCGCAATGCACTATCACATATGAGTAACTACCTAACTGACTGACGATCTGGATATAGGTGAAATTTCGAACTGACAAAATTAGTCAGACTACATTAACGGAATACAAAATAATTGATGAACTCCCTATTTAAAATGTCGGAAAATAGAGTGTTGAAAATGAGCGTGATGGCGAAGACTGATAACGTATGATAATTATAAATGAATTTAAAACATGTTAAATTAGCTTTATTATAATAAATGTTATTTATACGTTAATCTGCTAAAAATAATTTATTATTTAAAGTATGAATAAAATTCAATTTATTTATTAGATATAATATAAACGGGCAGGACGTCTACCGGGTTCAGTTAGTTTCCGATATTGATAGTAATGGAAAATATCTTCACTATCGCATTTTCAAAGGAACTGGGTTAAGTAGTTGCGCCTACTCTGAGCTTTGAGCCTCAAACTTGAAAATTGTCACAGATATCAAATTTTTAATCTTCCTGCAGAGCTTTTAAGCACAAAGAGCGGGCGGATCAGTTAATGATTCCTTCGCCGCGTTGTAGAGACGCGACCTTTAACTTTTAAATAGGCAACAGAAGACTAGCGTTTAGAATTTTCGGGGCATTTTTCCGAGCGGATAATTGAGTTTCTGATTAATTAATCTTTCTTTGTACTAACCAAAAGATGCCTTGAAAACGTAAAACAACTCGATTGCGAAGGCGTATTTATTATTCGCAAAAAAAAAAACAAAGCCTTCTACTAGAATCGTTTTTCTTTAATGGAATACTTTAAAATAGATCTCTTACGTGATTAAAAAAAAAATCCTGTTTTGTTGGGACTCAGCAATGAAATAAACGAGGAATTAAAATAATCCGATCGGAACGACAATTAAAGGGAATTTTCTAAAAGAATAATTTTACAATGTAAATTTGATGAAAATGTCCTATTATTACTTATTTACCCTAACACGTCACAATAGTTATTTATTTATTTGTTTGAAATTCACGCCTATTTGTTTAAAAGGAAGGCATATGCCGCAAATATATAGAAGTTTACTTAATTGGCTCTCTTCCTTCACTAAGATCCATCAGTTGCTCCATGCACGCTTGTTGGTTTTGGTAGTTTAAAATTTGACCCTTATTTATGTGCCACTAATTTGGTATACATAAGGTTTTCTAGGGCGTTCCTTGCCAACCATTTTATAGTATATATTCGTTTTATAAGTTCCCATTATCAAATTATTTTCATTCACACTTTTCAGGTTGACAAACCACCTTAACATACCTTTTTCCAATTTAGTCGCTACATTCTCTTCTAAATCATACATTTTTCTGACATCAGTATTCTTGTGATATCTTTTTAATGCAGTTTCTTCCTATTACGCTGGGGAGACGTAAAATGGTTCGCAAGAGACAAACATTTATTTTACTAAAAGTTAATGTTTGTCTCGAGTTTGGGTAATTGTTTGTACTATGTGTCTGTATTTACAAAAGAAAAAGTATACGAGGTTCAATCTGGAATTTTGGAGATACTGTCCAACGCCGGTTTTCAACAATGTATTTAATACATGAGTCTTTGTGAGCTGTGATATAGTATGGATTTTAAGGTTGGTCTCTCCGAAGAGCCACGTGTGCAGCGGTCGCAGTCAGCATTCAATAATGAAGTATCATCTCGACCCACTCTGTTTCAATTGTTTATAGAATTTTAGTAATAGACGCAACTTACTTCAAGATGTTCAATATACGGAAAGGCCTCTTCCAACAGTCACAATATTAAAAAAAAAAACATAATTAATATTCTATTATAAATTGCTATAAAAAGTATGTAACACTAAAAAAAGAAAACTGACATCATGCGGTACTTCTAGGCGGTCACCCATTCAAATACTGACCCCGCCCGCCGCTGCTTAACTTCGGCGATCGGATGAGAACCGGTATTACAAATTCAGCGTGGTATGGACGTTAGTAAATAAATTTATGAAAATGTTAACTAAAGCAACAGCAGTCAGTATTTTTTGTTGCGTTTATACTTTTTTTCGTGTAGCTCCCACCCCCCGAGCGCTTGAGTGTAACGTGCTATAAACAACTTCGTTCCAAAAAAAATGGCTTGGTTGAGTTGCCGTTTTACATCAGAAGAAGAGACCGACTCCGCTATTACTAGATATTTTGATTTTATTTCTGTAGACGCGGATGTGATACTTTCAATTTGTGGAACATCTGTCTACTGAAGTGTATTGACGCTGAAGGAGACTACTTTGAACATTTGTAAATCTGGGGTGTCTTGGGAATATAGTTTTCCTGATTCTTGTTAATTATGGGATATATATGTATTGGATCAACTATCTGATACCCATAAAAATAGCAGTAAGCCTCGATGCTTAGTTTGATGCTGCTGTGTGTATGTCCGAAGAACAAAAAAGATTTTTTTCCAGGGATCGCATCTTCATTGAATTGATTAAGTGTAGGAACTAAGATAACAAGCTAGGGTTGCTATAAATAAAAATGTGACAAAATACTTGTGTAATTTTTTTTAATTTTGTTCACCGTATAAAGTATGCGTTTTAACATTTATAGTTCTGTAAGCAGTTTAAGTGGACTTTTTCCTATACACTTGTGTATTTATGAACATACATATGAGTCTCTCTATAAGTCTATCATTTTCGCGCAACATGATGTATGAAAAGGACGGTATTACAAAGAGGCTCTTATTTAAGGCATCATCGTTAAGCTAAGTATTTACTATACCACCGTAGAAACTAAATTGTGAGAATGCAAATTTAACTTGAGAATTTCTACTTTTGTAATACACTGTGCGTACCAATGTTGAAAAAGGTCATATTTACTTTTAACGATATCGAATGAATTAATTAAGTTTCGTCACTTTCGTCACAGACACGCCCTGTGTCTGTGGAATACTTTTTAATGGAATTTAGTGTAAAATCTAAAATTTGGTAAGCCAAAATTTTTAGAAGCAAACATAATTTTAGAGTGTAAAAAATCTGCTTAAAGCGAAAATCGTTTCAGAAATTAAAGTATGTACATTATTTCAAAATTGATATATAATGGATATGTAATGAAATTGCTAGCAAAGCTTTGGGTGTTTATACACGCTAATCTACACAATAAGGCAGCCAAAATTTGCATGTGGTTGTCAGTGCTGTATTGAGGTAGAGTTGGTGTAGAATTTAGTGTTTGTTTCATTTGCAATTGTACCCGATTTCGGCCGTGTATATGCAAGTTTTGTGTCATCCATCCAATTTGGACAGAAGTCTTAGATACGTTTTTTAGCATGAGCTAACCGTTTGTACTAACGTTTGTGTGCCACTTCGCTTGTTTCGTAATATCCTCCCGTTTTACATATATTGCTTATAATGTTACAAAATATATAATGATTCCAAGCCAAAATGGCAAAAACGAAACCCTTATAGTTTCGTCAGGTCCATCCGTTTGTCCGTTCATCCGTCTGAATGTTACAGGCATTTTACTCAAAAACTATATTATTTATATTAATGAAATTCGCGGCATACATGTCTTATTTTAATAATTAATTAACAAAAACAAATATTTTAGAGGGAGGCACTCCATACATGTAATAAAAGCTGAAAAAAATTTTTTTCAAGAACATCAACATGTGTTGTATATTTCGACAGTTCTTTTAAAAACACTCTAAGGTTTTTAAGCAATTATTTTGACTAACTGAATATTTTGGATAATAGTCGCGCCGAAAGTAGCATAAATTATCCCCCCCCCCCTTTCTTTTTTAAACCGTATTTCCAAAAAATATGAAAGATTTTACAAATATAGCGCTTAATAAGTACTTTCAACAAAAATTTAAACATGATTTACCGTTTTTGAGTTGTTGCCGAAAAACTGTGCTTCTTACCGAAAAGACGTAAGTGCCATGAAGATACCCTCTTTTGTTGGTGCTTTTCAGTTTACATTATTTGAAGAATAATAGTCGACATACCTACTTGTTTCTATAGTAATAGGTGACTAAAGTGCATATGTGCTGGAAACATGGAAAAAAGTGTAATAATGTAGTTTTTCATCTGTAGTGCATTTCTTTGTAGCGACGCCCTCGGAACCCTACAGTGAGCATAGTTCGACATGCTCTTAGCTGCTTTTTATATGCAATTTGAATGTTGAGTGTTTTAATAATCCTTACGTCTTCAAATTTGTTTATCATAATTTATTTATATATTTAAGTATTAGATACAAATACTTAGAAATGTATTAAGTACAAATCTATAAGATTAGGAAAAATAAAAATATCAACACTTGCTTAGGTGTTCGATATCTTTCAATCCTCTCGAATCGATATTCAATTCGTTGAATGAGGATTCGTATTGAAACAACAGTTTCGAGTATCGGCGGTGGGTTGCACGTTTCATGATACTGCATGTCGCAGGCAAGCTTTCAATAAAAGTATTCAAGGTTCTGTCTTCACTCTAAATTTCGGTAATCGTTTCTTTCATATTAATTTCAAACATTGCTACAACATGAGCTCAGCGGAATTCCAGAGGCGCGCGCATTCGTGCCGAAAATCATGCATCAGGCTTGTTAATGGCTTCGATTTCAATGTCAAATGATCTAGCAAACCTGCAGTATTAAACTGCCAAAGGTTAACGTGCAACAACGCACATAGCGAAAATCCATTTTCCAGAGGGCTCAGAATTGTTTGTATTGGAAAAAGATAGCTTCCGTGAGAATCTTCAACGATCTATTATTATATTTAAACATAATATCATGATATACTGTTAACGCCTTTTTACTATGTATCTATGTATGCCACGCACTAAAGTTATTATTTTTTATGCGTGATTGAAGATTTGAAAGAAATTAGACACGTGTTGTAGATAAATATATCACCGTAAATAAGTTCTAGTTAATGCTTTGGAAAACAATTAAATAATGGACCATTGACAAGATAAACTTGTTGAGTTTCTCGATGCTCCTTCACGACATTATGCAATTTTCGTAAGCGTCAATACATTTGAGGAACATAATAGTTATAACTGCGTTCTTGGAAGTAAATGAGCCTACCTGCTACATAAAAAAATAATTTCATCTCGATCAATATTTTATCTTCTGTAATAAATCCACCAAATTGAATTTTTAGTCGTTTTAAATATATATACACACATACACGTATATTGGATATAATCAAAATATACCAAGTAGAAATCAGGGAATACCATCCACAAAATATTGTTTTATTAAAACCTCGTATGACTGGAGACGTGAAAAATAAAAAAATAGAGTAGCGCCTAAAATCCTTTAATAATTCAATTATTTCTATTTTTTATTGCTAGTTTTGGTAAATGTATTACATCTTTATTCTTTTTTATTTTTCAAATTAACTTTTCGATTATTATACTTTAAAGGTTTGTGTAGTGCCCAGTATCCCTATAATTTCCGACAGACAAAAATCAATCTATTTATTAGAACTTCATGTTCATAAAAAAATTCTCATAAGCAATTCATTTACGTTGAAAAATGACAAAGGATAAATAACGTAACAATTGGCGTGTTCGCCTGTTTTATTTTATAGGATTCAGCAATCCAAAAAAAAATTATTTTAAATATTTATTAGTTGTATAATTTCAAAAATGTGTAATATAATTTAGTTGTCTTTAAAAATACACAAAGACTTCTACGTAATACAAAACATTTTTGGAATAATACTTCTTTCACTACCTTTGAAAAAACATATCAGCTTGTATTTTCAACATGGAACGCGCATACCTAACACATGAAGTTAGTACGGTCTAAAGTTATAACAAGTGATGTGCAATGACACATACTATTTCTGTTCTGTTGTACAATAACAGTCTACCGCACATGCGTGTAATTCAATAAGTCGCTTAATGCAATTAAGTGGTCAAGTATGTGTTATAAGCAAAAAAAGGTATTGAGTGAGCGTGTACGTAAATATATATTTATGTACAGGCATTTCCAAAAACTGAGCAATATCATTATATTATATTAGGCCGTGGATTTTTTTTATATACAAATTAAAAATAATTTCTATCATACTTTATTTACATATAGTTATAATATATATTTGCCATTTTGTTCAACAACTTGTTGCCATTTTGTAGATAGTGATATAATCCTGCTGTAGAAATTTTCGGTCTTCTGATCAAAAAACTGCGATAAGGAGTTTTGACAGTCCTCTCTTGATGTTAATCTAAAACTGCCTAAAGAATTCTAAATTTGCCAATAAAGGTAAAAATCTGAGGGTGTGAAGTGCCATATGTTGTATGCATTAACACTTCCCCACCAAATTCTCTCAATATTTGCTGAGTGGCTGATGATGTGTGTGGTCTGGCGTAATCATGATGAAAAACCACAACCTTTCTGTTGATCAATTCCGGTCGTTTTTTCTCTACTTTTTGCTTGAGTCTCATCAGCTATTTGTAGTAGAGATCCGAACTTGATGGTTTTATCCGGTGGTAAAAGCTCATAATAAATAATGTCCTTCTAATCCCACTATACACATAGCATCGACTTATTGTAAGTTAATCCGGGTTTCGGTATAGTCTGTGGAGTTTGCTTACTTTTTGAATATGGTCTATTTCGCACGTCTTTGTAGTAGATAATCCATTTTTCATCACAATCTTTTCAAAAACGGTACGATTTTATTGGCTGATTTATATATCCATGCAGCTTTTTTGTATATTCAGCTTTTTCCAAATGGATCAAAATCGTTTTGTGGTCAAACATCAGCTCTTCAGCTATGTCGTAAAAACTAATATGACGATCTTGTTCTTCTTTTTCCAAAATAACATTGACTACATCCATAACAGGTTGACCAGAGCGAGGTTTATCTTTTACATCAAAATTACCGGAATGAAAACGCTTGAACCAGTTTTGTGCTACTCTTACCAACATTGAATTAGGTATATAAACGACACAATTTTTTTTTCGCGGCTTATATCGCATTTTTCCCTTTTTCGTAGA